CTGAGCTAACCCAAGCCAAGTGGAAAAGTCCGTTGCAACTGGCTCCCGAGCACGGACTCTAAAGTAAGAAGAAAAACTTAAGAAGAACTATTGAGATACGCGGAAAAACTTGGGTTCGAGGAACATGGAACAGCTATCACGCTGAATCCACAGAGGCTTCCTAATTTTTTTTTGAGCTCGCGATACTTCGACCAACTTAACGACGAGATCGACGACCAGGTGAGCGTTTAAAGATTAGGTCCTGGTACTACAAGGACTTTTGCGGCACGCGAACAACGCGGTCGAAAAAAAGCTGAGCCGTAACTTTCCCCCGAAAGATCATTTGTACCTCTACGAACAGAAGAGCGGTACCAGTCTATGAACGTAGACGAGAAGGACTATTTGTAACCGCAATGTAACGAAAAGCGAGAACAACCAAGGAGGTCTGAGGTCACTGTAAAATCATGTCGACAAGACGAAACAGAACGCTACCAGAAACTACATGAAGATCGGAGCCTGAGTACACCTAGGATAGCAGAGCGCTAGCCAGATCAGAAAGGGAGGTACGTGGACCCCCGAGCCGCATGCAGACGAAGCCATGGAGGCGGAAATTTTGCCCATGGCTCTCGAACTCCAAAAATGGAATTTTACTGGAATTGTGGACGTTGTGTAGTACACATCCGAAATTGCTGCCCGAATCTAAAGGGAAACGACCAATTACCTCATCAGTATAGAGGGTATGGTCCACAACACTCTCTCGAGAACAGCAGAGGCACTAAACCAGACGCTAGGCCGGATCCTGGTCAAGGTGACAATGAACGAGAACATAGTAGCAGAAATAGATAACGGAGCAACGGGGAGTTTCGTGCACGAAGATGTGGTGAGTATATTGGGCAACGAAAGAACAAAATCCGTAAAGGCACGAGTGGTAATGGGAAATGGAAAGCGCAAAGATGTCGAAGAAGCAGTAGAAGAAGAGAGAACGAAGTGCACCACAGCGAGTTACTTATTGTAAAAGGCCTGGTCGATGAATTGGTACTCGGGACGGACTACCTCATAAGGCCAACACGGAGTTGAACTGACGCGGAGGGTCACTAAGATTAAGGGTAGACAGAAGAGAAGTCGAGATAGCCACAAGGACCGCCATAGCTGAGAAGAGAGCAAAGAAATACATGGCCTCAGAGAGCCCGAACCAAACAACACTACCAACAGGCAACCAGTCATCAAAGTGAAAGAATTCAAGCAAAGAGAGTTGAAACGATTTGAGGAGACGTCAAGGCCACAAATGAAATAATCATGCGTTGTAACCAATAAAATAGATATGCAAGAAGTCATCAAGAAACAGATCGCCGAACTACTTGAGAAGAGCTATATCGAACCATCCCATAGTCCGCAAAGTGCACAAATAGTATTTGCGAAGAAGAAACATGAAATGCAGAGTCTCCATTGACTACCGTGTATCCAGCATATACTCGATCGGCTCAAAAGCTCTGTGTTTTCTTTGTTTATTTTGGATGACATGGGGGTAGGGGAGTCTAGATGATGATTACGTCGATCGGTTGTTGGGGCAGGGGAACAAGATCTTCCAGATTTTCCAGACATTGAATGGTATTCAGAACATATGCGTGAAAGCCAATACGTGCTCCAAATTGTAAAATATAGAATGATGTCGTTCAAGAAGTGGCCTATTTAGATTACTAGACAACAGGTTTCTTGCAACACCTGTAAAAGTGAAACAAACAGTTGATGACTTGGTTTTGAATGAAGGAAGACAATTTCTTAATCTTCCAGTCAATTTAGCTCTACGCTCAAGTGCTTCACTCAAAGATTTCCTGTAAATAATTGTAATAAATCTGCTTACGTAATACTTAAACGACCCCAAAGACAAAAAGGCGAAGGTGTAAGAAGCAGTTTTCTAAAGATGGATGACTACCGAAGTTAACGACGTAGACGTTACCCTGTGAGTGTTAAAAGAAATACACGACGCCCCGAGTGCATGCCATATGGGCATAGCCCGGGTGACGGCGTGATACTACTGGTCAGGGATGTTTCCAGATGTGAGGCAGTACGTACAACAGTGCCACGAGTGCCAAATTTACAAACCCGGTCAACTACAAGCCGCAGGCAAGAAGTTCACCTAAGTAGCGGACGAACTATGGGCGACATTGCGTGCAGATTTCGTAGGCCTGCTACGGCTTTCGTTATTCTGGACCGATTTTCCAAATGGGTAGATATCGTGGCAGTCCGCAAAGCCACAACTGAAGGTCTCATGCGAGCATTCGGAGAAAGAATCTTAGCCTTTTTTTTGGCGCACCAAAGGTATTGATCTCGGAAAACGGAACACAGTTCACCAGAAGGCGTTTCAAAGACTTCCTACACGAGCATGAAGTGAAACACCAGCTAACCGCACCCTATACTCCGCATGAGAGCTCTACCGAAAGAGCAAACAGGAACAATAAAAGATTGATAACGCAATTCATAGTAAAAGAACAACGTGATTGGGACTACTCCCGGAAATAATACTCGCACTCAATACCTGCGTAGGTGAATCCACAGGGTACAGTCAAGCATACATAGTCTAGGATAGATTCTTTAAAATGCCGAATAACCTATTCGACGAAAACACCTTTGGAACCGCGCAGAAGGCCCCAACACCAGCAGAGGAAGCAGCAACGATGGCAGAAGCTTACCGAGCAGTCCGAGGAACTCAAAAGCGCGATATCACAACCTACGAAGGAGGAATTGGCAAACTGCTTTTGGCGACTTCCTTATAGTGAAGGAGAATAGAGAACTCTGCGGCCAAATTAGCTCCCAGATATAGCAGCCCGCATTGAATAAAGAATTACGTATCCCCGGTAATAGTAGAGCTGGACAAAATACACAAAGGCAAAATGTCAATGGCACACCTGAGTGGGTTGAAACCCTACCACGGCGACAGGAATAACCTCCCATAAAAAAAAATTTAAGCAACAAAAAGAAAAAAAATAATTAAAAACATAATAGCGGGAGCGAAGAAAATTAAATGCGATAGTGAGAAAAAAAAACAGAAAGGACATAAAATGAGGTAAAATTGATAACAAACAACAACAAAGAAATTAATTTAGTAGTAACAAGGCGCGAAAAAAAGAGTTCCAAAAAGATTTGATATGGACGCACCCCAAACATCATATCACGTTGTGAAGAATGGAAAGTGGCAACACCCGCCAACAGCTGAGTCATCGTACATACATATAAACTAGAGAAAATATACATACATACAAACAAGTGAATATATACGCAACTAGAAAAAATATATGCACGATTGACAATCGTGCGTTCCAATTGAAAAAAGGAAGAAACACCGAAATTAATTAATTGAAAATCTGGTGAAAACCACTTTAATTTGAATGTATTTGTATAAATGAATATGAATTGTGTTACATTAATTTTCCAACGTATGTTTTTCTTACTCTGCAATCGCTATGTCAGCACCGGCTGAATTTCCTTCTTGAGTATCGAAAAAATCAATTATTTTAGAATTTTTATTTATTGGCCACTGAACTAATAAAACGCAAGCACAGAGCTTTCAAACTAGGGGTTTTTGCCCGACAGCTATGTGGCATTTTATGTACTTAGCATATTACATAACCCCTTTGAATAAAGGCGGATTCTCGGTTGCTGACATCGCTTTTGCTGGATAAAATAACTATGAATGGTAGTACACTGAAATATACAATAGTTTGAATAATGACAGGTTCTGAATTGTATACAATTTCAACTTAATCTATCCCTTCTGCTTGTGTTTCCTCGAATATTATCCTTCTTTTTTCTGGACTTAATTTGATGGAAAAAAAAATATTAGTAAAGAGTAGAAAATAATTTGGTTTAAGTTAAATTTGCAATTCTTTTTTTTCATGATTTTTTCAATAAAATTATTATATATATTTTCTTGTGTACAAACATGTGCGTTCATTGCTGGTGGGACCCTGAAAGGACTAGGTCGAAAATTGTCACCTGCGTCAGAAGACCTCCAATAGTCACTGGAGGCGAATCCCTCACCATTACTCTTGAGTACTCGTCAGATACCAGAGTAACATGTATATGTAGGAGACGAAACGTAGAAATGCGGATCTGCTAGCCGCATGAATTGGAAGGATGCGGCAATATTGATGTCCTTGATTGAAGAACTGATTCGGACGTGACATTCTTATGGTACGGCTGTCACGCGCTCTGCCACTTTTCCCCTCAAAATAAGCGAACAGGAAAGATGCGTTCTAGTCGGAGATCTCTAGCGAGGTCGGCGTCGATCATGCTGTTTGGAGAGCACGGATGGAGAAGAGCGCGCTCAAGGTGGAGTCGATCCCCCGCTTTTATATTTATAATTGCGGTGGGTTTTATACAAATCGTTATTCTTCACCCACTTTAGTGTTGAAAACGCCAAGAAAGTGCTTTGCTGAAGAGCTGAACTATCAACCAATCCTTATTGCTTCTTTTTTTCAAAGGAGCAGATTTTTTATGTGGTAGGTGCCAAACCCTATGCTAAACCACAGGGGTCAACCGGATGTTTGTTGGCTACCGAGAACGTTTGTTTTGGGCCGAAGTCGTGAGCTGCTTAAACCATATCGTTTATGGTCACTCCCAAGTGAGTGACAGTCAACAACTTTTTTGACTTGTGTGGTTTTCGACACATAGCTTCAGCTTATATAGGAGTTATTTAGAAGGCGATATTACACCAAGGCCACCGCGCTAGCCGACTGGTTAGCAATAATACAGATATGAATATATTATATCTTAAGCACTTCATATAATTGATATTAGGTTTTTTTGATAAAAAAAAAATTTAAGAGAATAATATTTATTTGGTCATAGCGTGTGTAAAAGGGCGTAATGTTCCTTAGAATTTAGATTTTGTTTTGGCCAAACCAAAGTTGAATAACATTTTACTTGGATGTAATATTTAATCTTCTAAAAATATTTTTTTACACAATTTGATTATCAGGCTATACTAATCAATATCTTTAATATTTATTTTAACTCTAAAGGATTTCTGGGAATGCTGCAAGTAGTAAAAATATTCATGGCACAGTTTCAGAACAACTTAAAAAGAATTTTGCAAAATCACGATGGAAAGTAAGTAAGCAAGATAAATTGTAATAAGCACTTTGAATAAGTTTTTCACATTTATTTTGTAGCAAGCCTATTATGCTGCGACCGTTATTAGACAAATGCAGCGGATGGCATTAAGCAGTAACAGTGGAGATAGCAGTAGTAAGAGCAATATATTACCATCGGATAAAACTCTAAATTGTAGCAGTAGTAGTACAGATTCTGCACTGGCCGAAAATGTTATCGGTATTAAACTCGAAGGTGCAGTTTTCACAAGTGACGCAAGCAACTTTGGCGCCTGTTCAAAACCGGAACAACTTGTCCCGATATCAACTTCCAACAATTCATTATTTGTCATAGCAAAAACTGAAAACCAGCAATTGCGAAATAAGAAAACCAACTCCACGGCATGTGTAAATGGCAGTGAACAAAAGAAATAAGCTTATTTTAACAATATAAAGCGGAAAATTACAATTAGACATAGCGAACTTAAAACCGTTAAAACTTTTTTCTAAAAGAAATAACTGTAGTTAGTAATATTTCACTATTTGTTACCAATTCAAGCATATTTGGTTAAAATTTGAGCAAAAGAATCTGAATATTTCCACGATATATAAGGGGATTATCAAAAGTTCTGTAAGTTGACCAGAAACAATAAAAAAAAACTTATTTTTCTATTTTTTCGTAATCTTTGTCCTTTTTTTATCTTCTGTACATAATTGCGATTGATTTCAATGCATTTCTTAAGCTTATAGATCCACTTCTAAAACAGTCTCCAAAATCATAGCAGCTACGATCGCGTGAAGTTAACTGATATCATTATTTTTGCTGGTTAGATTTTACGGATGGATTTGCTCCTGTTGGGCTCCATACCATGAGCTACTGTTTGTGTCCTGGATCGTACTTATAGACAGCCGGTGTGGCCGAGTGGTTGCGTACTGAGATTGGGAAGACTCGCGTTCATACTCCAGTGCCACCAACATCCAAAAGTTAAAGAAAATTAGTTTAATTAAAAGATTGAATTAAATTTTCTAATTGCGGACGCCCTTCGGCAGGGAATGTTCACCCTTCCGAGTGTATTTCACACATGAAATAAAAGCTCTTAGCAAAAAAACCTTCAGTATAAACTGTAGTTCCTTCCATTTTACCCAATCGTTCTAAAATTTGAAAGAAAGACTAATAAAGTAATTGCAAAGGATATGGTAAGGCAACAAGTTTAACATTTCCCTTGTTATTTTTAAATTAAAGATAAGATGTTGGGAAATGGCAAATTGCTAATTACGAACCAAAAGATTGTAGAATTCATAAGTATTTTATGAATATGCTAATATGAGTCATATTAACGGAAGATAGATACTTAAAGCTTCTAGCTAAATTCATTAAACACTAGCAAGAAAATATCATTAAAATCTTTTCAACACATACATACTTGTACGACGGAGGGGTGCCCTTTAAAATACTCATTAGTATGTGTTTTAAATGAAAGTTATGAGGTTGAACCCTAATCAGACTGTTTACCTAAATTGTTTTCTATTTGCTGTCGCTGTGATATTCATCTATGCCTAGCTATGTTTTAACACTATCATATTTCCGATGGTCAACGGTTCTGAGCAGCTTACGATGACTGCAAATATCTCCTGATATAAGATGGCACAGAAATTAAGTGCATAACTCATAGTAATCGCTCCTCTTTATTTGTTGTAACTTCCTATGTGTAAAAACCCTTTTCATTTTCCTTTATTTAAACGACAACGTTCGTATGAACATAACTTACAATTTATATCTTACATACACAATTATTTTCGGAAATTTGTTAGTTTCAGGAATTCATCGTAAATTTAATTACAATTTTTCATTGTAAACTTATTAATTGATTGAGAATTACACATGAATCACTCTTCCTTTTGCAAAATAGCCTTGAGTGTCATACAGTTTTTCCATACTATCCTAATATCATTTTCTATATTCAAAAGAGAGACAGGCACGTCAATGCAAATGCCCCATAAACATCAAAGCCATGTGTGAGAGTTATGTGCGCGCAATTCACAAGGTTAACAATTTCAACATTTTAGAAGACGGCTTTTTTAGTTTTAAAAATGTTTTAGTACATGAAGCATGTTAAAATACTTGCTAACATGTTATACAATTTTAAAATTCAGATTATACAACATGCATTACTATGTATAGCTCATCCCGTCAACCTCCGCTTCATTCATTCCTTGCTTCGTTTCTACTCATTGCTCAGTCGGATTCGTCTCGTAACTTTATTATAATAGAGAGATAGAAAAATTCTAAATTCGCTGTTGTCTCTCTTTTCATGCTATTGCATCTTGTGTTTCCTATTAGAAAATTTATTTCGTTTTTATATATTTTATTTTAAAAATCCACGTCTTTATTTTTACTTAATTTAATGTTTTTTTATTTACGAGGTGTGACAATAAAGTAATGAGAATGATTATATTGCCGCGATTGTGGTAAGCCTGCAACGTTGGAATTCCCTTTCCCTTCTCCCGGCATCCTTCTTCTCTCGACTGATATATTTGGCATCTCTCGGCTAAGAGCTTTGGCTTGTTAAGCTCGCCTGCTGTGTCGTGTTGAGTCAACGAGTGTTCTTGGGATGGCAGAGTTGTAGAATAATTGTGAAATATACGGCTTATACGGAATATGCCTCACTACTTAATTGTCACACCTTGTACATATATTTCCGTTTGTTCTATATTTTGCTTTTGTTGTTAAGTGTCAATATCAGTGCATTTATATATATATATATTTACCATTTTGTAACCGCTGAAGCGATTTTTGACCCAGCTTCTCCTTTAATTTATGGTTTTACGTCTTGATGTTTTTCTTACAACTGGCGGGACCTACAGTTTTTACTAAGCCGCCTCCGAACGGCTGATGATTTTTTTACGAGGAGCCTTTATTTCATTTCACACTCGAAGCGGTTGACATTTTCTGCCGAGAGGCCACCGCAATTAGAAAGTTTAGCTGAATTCTTTTTTTAAAGTATTATTTAAATTGATTTTCTTTCATTTTTTGTTGTTTTTCACTTATTGTAGTTAAACATGAAATTAATTATTATTATTTTGTATTTATTCTTTTTATATTATTGTTTTTAGCTACTTATTGTTCATTCACTAACTGTGCTATTAGAAGTGAGTCAGAGCGCTTTGTCGCTTACAGGCTTTGTGATGGGCTGACTCATCAAAATTGTGCTGGACGCAACTAGCGATGGCAAAGGTCTACTGTGGTCATGACTATTATGTAGATCAACTAAAGTAAATAGATTAATTTAAACTGTTGCGCCATACAAGTAATGGGTTTAGTGAAATAAGTCGGAGACTGGTAACCTTAACGGAAGAGTTCAAACATTATGAGAGTATGTTTCAGACTTTTACGTGTTTGAACGAATCTCAAGAAGATTCAAGGCGCACTTAGCAATGTTGTAATGTATCCGTCCGACGATATTGACTCCCCATATAAAGAAGATTTCAACATCTAAAAGCAGACTAATGCTCAATTAAACGTTGCTGAATATATGAAATATGGAAGGAATATTTCCTCGTTCAAAATCGATATTTCATGCTTTAATCAACTTCTTTATAGTACATTCTGGCCTCCTTTTGAGCATTTTTTGCGAATTCGAGCACGAAGGTGTTAAGCTCAATGAAGAAACACTAAATAAAGATCGCTTTATAAGTTTATATTATCGAAATGTTCGAGGTATTGATAGCAATAACTGACATGAATGAAAACAGTCTACATTGTAAATTTAGCATTATATCATTTACCGAGACATGGCGTAAACCTCATGTTTTTTTATAATAAATAAATAGTGAGTATCAAACTTATAGAACTGATCAATTAAACAGGATCGGAGGTGGGGTTCTACTTGCCGCTCATTCTTCATTTTCTTCTGAAGAAGGTTTTTTTCCTGGTTTAGATTCCGTGGAATTTAAATGCATAAAAGTGCTTTCCACTAGTGGCTTTACATATTTCAGGACTCTTGATTATTGAAAGACTCACTCTTGTTGGTAAATCAAGCCGATTTCTTGATTGTTTTGGGTGACTGTAATTCGAAATGTCTTTCATGGAAATCCGTTAACGATAATGTTACTATAATTTGTAATGGATCCTGTGGAAATGAGTTATGACGAGAACTGCTCGACTTATGCCTCCATCTAATAATGCTTCTGAATTTTCTATTACTAGAGGCTTTGGAGATAACATTTGAAATCAGAAGTGAACTTGTGGCTGATAACTCTTCGCTTACTTTTAATTATCTATTCAACTTTGCGAAAGCTTATTAAAAAAATTGAATCAGGAGCTCTATAAATTTACTGGGCCATTTTATACTGATAATATAAATTGAAGTTTCTTACATTCTAATAGTACCATTAATTCTCTTTTTGGCTTACAATTACATTATTTGATATACTCATCCCTTTGTCGAAAATTTCTTGAGCTTAAAATAAATGTTATAATGTTTACATAACTAAATTTCAGAAAAATATTTTACACAATCCTAAGTGGTTCTGTGATTTTGTTAACTCCAAAGGTAAACTTTCTACCTTCTCGTCCGTCATGAAATATAAATATACTATGTCATGCGACAATCCAGTGTTCGCGCGATTTTTGCAATCAAATTATTCAACTAACTCTCGAAGTGTCAGCCTTTCTTACATTCAGCAACAATAATTAATTCACAGCTATTTCTGAGGAAACTAGCTCTCGAAGTGTCAGCCTTACTTACATTCAACAACAATATTTAATTCATCAGCTATTTCTTTGATGAAAATAATACATTCTTTTAGTTATGATCCAGATATGATTCCTACATGTTTCCTGAAAAGTTGTGCAAAAAATGTGTGTTTACCTTCAACTCAACTAAAATTATTATCCCAAACAATATTTATTCCCTACAATATGGATGCAGTATTTTATGGTGCCCATGCATAAGAGTGATTATAGGTTTAATATTGAAAACTATAGAAAATTGCAAATAAATCTACTATTCTAAAGCCAATAATTACTAGTCAGATATAACGTTTTCGATCCACTCAGTACTATCCAATCCCCAACAAGGGTTTTGTAAAGGAAATCAACACTTACAAATTTGATTGAATTTGTGTCACAAATCTCATAAATCTTTAGAGATAGTAAGTAAACTGACATTATCTACACCGACTTCAGTAAAACATTCAATAGGGTTAATAACTGGGCTTCCCACCAAGATTTCCTCAATGGGTTTCCTCGTATTTCTGCAATAGAACACAACGTGTAACGTTTAATGACGCTTTGTCCCAATTAATTAAAGTATCATCAAGAGTTTCTCAAGGTAGCTATTTCGGCCCGATTGTGTTTCTATTATTCATAAACGATATATCTTCGACGATAAAGCATTCAAAAATCTTTTTATATGCCGATGATGTAAAACTTTTTATCTTTTATACCACATTCGAGGAAAGACGTTTCTTACAAAACGATCTAGACAATGGGCGAGTACCATAACGACAAATTACTTTGTAATGATGCGGTTGCGACCCTGCACTCTATAATTTTGCCTTGTAACAATATTTTCCAAACTCTGACTTTTGGAACGCTTTCCGCGCAAATAAGTTTATTTACGATGATATGTCTGAAATATAGAACAGATATAAAAAATATGCCCTCGACGTATGCCATAGA